CTCTGTCGCCGCCGTTGGGCTTTTGTAGGGGTGTTTCTGTCGAAGGGGTTCTGGTCTTGGTTCAGAGAGAATGTTCGGGGGCCTGTGTGGCGAAGTCCGTGACTACTGAGTGAGGAGGGTGGGGACGCGGGGACTGCCCGAGAGCTGCCTCTGTCCGTCTGTGTCAGCAGCTGCCAAGTGCGCCCAGGTCCAAGAGGGCAGAGAGTCAAGTGGGGACAGTTAAGAACATGATGACTCATTTGCCACCATTAGTCACCGGAACCCTGGCTGCCTCCACGCCCCTCGGTGGGGGTTCGGGGTACCTGCTGACCAGGGCTCAGAAAGGCCGTCATGGGTGGGGTGACACAGGGTCAGAAGTGTGTCTTCGAAAATGAGCGTGAGCGTATTTGCTTCTTTTTTTTTTTGAAGTAATTTTCATCTGACCTAAATCCAGGGCCCTTACCCCGAGGTGGGGGTGGGTGGATGAGGCGTTAGTCGGTGACTGCCCGCTGCCCGGTCCCAGCACCACGCAGTGCTGAGAGGATGTGTCGTTGCGCTTGAGGGTTTTGCAAAAATGGAACAGTCCACGGCCAGGCACTTTATTTTCATTAATAATCCAGCGTTTTTGTTCAGACGATGCAGTGACCCCAACGCTGGGCATTCACATCTGACACGCCCGCCACAGCTGCCAGAGGAATTCTTCCGCGTTGGGTGGAGGCAGGAGGCAGGTTGATGAAGTGATCGGACAGGGGTCTTGCCGTGGTGGTAATGGCAGGAAGGCTTTTCTGGAGCAGCACCTACCCGACTCGGCAGCCTCTGTCACTCAGTTCTCCAGATGCTGTTTTCATGGGTTCTACCGAGTGCGTGTCCGTTGCCCGGCTGTAACTGAGAGAGCGGTGAGTGTGCAGGGGGTGCAGCACGCTGGTCACGGGCAGCGCAGTGCAGTGAGAGGCAGGGCGACAGGCCCCGTTTTCTTTCCACTTAACTGGACTTGAACTCTCCAGCGAGCGCAGAGGCTGGGGAGTAATTCCATTGCGGACGATGTGCACTCTTACTGTCATTGTAGGGTGGGAGCTAGCTGGCACAGCAAGTTAGGAGAATGGAAAGCAAGCTTGGCGGTTGCAGTTTGATCAGATACCACGGACCAGATGCCTTGGGACTGCCTGAAAGTCTTTAGCATCCACCAAATAACGCGGTGTCTGCACAGGCAGGGTGGGAGCCCCGCGGACGGGCTGGGGCAGAGCCCTCCTGCCTTGGTGGTCGTGTGTCTTAGCCTTCGTGTTTCCCTCTGGCGTCTCCGGTCTCTGTCCCCATCCTGTGCACCATGTGTCCCTGAGGGGAGTCACACCTGTGTCTGAGTCTGCTGTAAGGTGTTCAGTCTACCTCAAGGGGTCCTCATGGTCAGCTCTGTCCCACAGCAGTCCTTCCGATCGCCACACACACTGGAATGTCTGCGTGCCCCTGGCCCTGCCTTCCCTGTCGGCAACCTCCCGCCCCCCTCTCCCCGCAGTCGCCAGACTCCTAGTGCAAATTGGATGCTGCTTTAAATGTGAAAACAATTGTTCAAAAGCTATAAAACCTGAATGAAAGCTAAAGCTGAATTTATAAGCCTTGTTGCATATGAGCCAAAAGTGCAAAAAGCTCTATATAATGAACTAACCTGCCACTCGTATAAATATAAATATATATAAATATATTAAAATCAGACTGTTCTACAAATTGTGTATTTGTATTTTTGTGTACGTACAATTTTCTGCTAAGCAGAAGGAGGATGTAGTATAGGATGCTGTGAGAAGAGATTTGGTTTAATCCTATTTCTTTGTTACTTATTTTTGTTAACATCAGATGCCTGTCTTCGTCTTACACGTGTATGACACTGTTGGGAAAGCTGCAGTATCTCTCTTCCTTCGGTCCAGAGTCCGTTAACTAATGAAATCTGGGGTTTAGAGAGTTGTTCAGGCCCCCAAACTCGGATAAGTGGGCAGGGCCTCTGGGAAGCAAAATCCCACTTCTAGAAATCAGCTTCCAAAACAAGACTGTCAGATCTCCCCCCAGCAGATTGTCCAGGCGCACTGGGAGGGGCGCAGCAGGCTCTGCCTGGCCACGGTGCCAGCTCTGGCTGCCCAGGGCTCCCTGTCCCTCTGTGTAGCTGCTGCCTTTTTCAGATCAAGTTACCAAAATGCCTCCCCTCTGCCTGGCTGCTGGCCCTTCTCCACTGGGACCTCTAGCCCAGTCCCCTGGAGCGTCTCAGAACCCACCTTCCCGGTGCTAACACACAGAGGGGCAGCGGCTGCCGGGGCAGCCAGGTTGGCAGACTGGCTCTGTGTGTGCGTCCCTCTGTCTGGGGTAGTCAGCCCTTCCGCAAGGGAGGTGCCCAGCAACCAGCCTGGCCCCGCTGCCCACCCACCTCTCAGCCCCACCATAGTCCCTCCCGACTCGAACCTTCCCTGGGGAGAGTGATACTGCACCTTCCCCCGTGGGACTCATGTTTATGACAGTGTGTAATGGCTGTAGCAAAAGCCCTTGTTTCTAGATGTAAATGGTCAAAGAAACAAGTGCTCTATCGTATTGATTAAAATAGTTCCAATGAGTCCTGTATCATTGTATCTCCTATTCTGGATTAGTGCCTTTTGGACAGTAGACTGTTCTGTAATTAAAATGTAGTATATACTGCTTTTTTGTACAGTTTTGTTTTAATAAAATTTTTTTTAATTTGTGTTTATTTTAGTATTGTACCTATTAGAGAATAAAATGTATAACCAAACAAAGCCTGGCTGGGACTTATTTGGGGAAGAAGGCGGCTTCGGGAGCTGCCCGGCATTAACAAGGGGTAGGGGCCTTCTGTTCTGAACATCAGTCCCGTGAGCTTCAAAAAAAGGACTGGTGGCTCTGGGGACCGAGGACCCATGGAGGGGTAAAGGTGACCATCGCCACCTGGTTGAGGGACTGCCCTGAATCCACACACACACACACACCCCCAGACTCCCACCAGCGCTCTCCCCGTCTGCCCCCACTGCTGGGCTCAGGCAGGGAGGGGCCGGCCTTTCCTCCCACCCTCTGCCCTGTCCGGAAACCTCTAGGGTCCCCGCAATGTCTCCACTACTGTGCTGGGCACACACACCGTTGCTCCCCAACTCCAACCAGACCCTGGGCGCCTCACTTTCTTACAGAGCCCTCTTTCCTGGGGCTTCCTCTGTTGCACACAGTCCAGAACGAAATGAAAGAAAGCAGCAGCTTTGTCATTGTGTTTTTTTAAAGGTGCCCAATGGCTGGAATAAAATGCTTAAGCAGGACTTAAGAACAAAGAGTCCAAGCTCCCTGCTCACCCAACAGATGGATCGATTCACTGCCCCACTTCTCAGAGAAAAGTCTGCTTCCTCGTTCTAAAGGACTCGGCCGTCCCCAAACACTGAGTTCACAGGGGAGGTAGGCAGGGGATGGGGCCAGGGGGCAACACAGAGGACCATCCCCACCCCATACTCCGCGGTTTAGGACAGCCTCTTTTTTTTTTTTTTTTGGTAGAAAAGATTTTACTTAGGGGGAAAGAGGGAGAAAGAGAGAAACACCAATGTGTAGTTGCCTCTCGGCACACCCCCTACTGGGGGGTCTGGCCCAGGACCCAGGCACGTGCCTTCGTTGGGAATCCAGCCACCAACCCTTTGGTTCGAAGGCTGGCACTCAATCCACTGACCCACAGCAGCCAGGGCAAGAATGCCTTCTTGTTCTGCCCTTTATGCCCCCCAGGAAATCTCCCCCAGCACAAACCCACTTCCCTAGCGGTAACCTCCTCAATCCCCAACACCTCTGCCCAGCCCCCGTTCCCCCGCCCTCCAGGGCATGTGCATCCTGGATTCCCCCAGCCACGGACTCTTCAGGATAAACTGGCCTGCAGTCTGCACCCTAAGACCCGGCACAAGACATGCATGCAGTTCACTGAGTCATGCGGTGAGTGAGTGAAATAAACATGACAAATCCACTGGAGTCCACTTTGGGGTCTGAGCAACTATAAAAGCCCCACAGCCTTATGTAGACAAAGGAGAGAGATCTCATTGAGTTGCAAGAGAGTAAGTAGCAGTTCGGAAAATAACATTTATCCTAGGAGGTAGGTCAGTTCCACATTCAGACCCCTGCCCCCAAACAGGGCAGTGCCTGGCAGCCAAACTCCTGTGGTTGCTGGGCACTTACCTCTGAGAACAACTCTCGGGCACTATGAACATAAGTCCTGCTGGGATGTGCTCTGAGGGCTGCCTCTGGTCAGCGCTGAAGCCCTGCCTTTGCCGGCACATTTTATATCATCAGACGAGGGCGGAGTGACTCACACACCCAGAAAGGACACAGCATTACACAGGGCCACCAGTGAGTCGGTGTCCTGTGGAACCGGTGCCCTGGGGCCGGCTGTGTCCCTTGCTGGTGCTGGGCTGTGCTCCTGTGACCAAAAGGAGGCCAGGGGGGTGGGGCCGCCATCGCAGCTGCTGGGAACCCGCACCCGGAGCTGGGAGTCTGGGATGTCAACCTCAGGGCACACAGGCCCATCAGGACACAGCCTGCGGGGTCAGCCCACCGGTGCAGCAGTACGGGTCGGGCTGCAAGTCCTCTGCCCCCCAGGTCGGGGGTCTGCCATGGGGCCAGGTCTGTAGTCAAGGCAGGCAGTGGGGCCATGTCCTGCGAGCTGGGACTTCCCTGCTCCTGGGAAGTGACCCGTCCCCAGCCCTCCACTCCCAGACCAGCTGTCTGCCCTTAGCCCAGCAGCTCTAACTGCCTTGGGTCTAAGGCCACCAGGAGGATTCTACTGGCTTTTGGCTCCTGAAGTTTCATCGAAGGGGTGGAAGACTCTCCACAGAACCAGCTGGGCCTCCCTGACGCTTTATCCGAAGGCACGAGCACAGGGGCTACCGCTTCCCGGCTCCATCGTGACGAGCCCTGCCTCACTCACTCAGAACCAGGCTGCCCCGTGCCTGTGGAACGGTCTAGAACAAGCCCAAACACCCCTATGTCAGGCGAGGGGAGGGAAAAGACTGACCTCAGGCAAGAAATCATCTGATTTTATTTAGAAGCAGCTGGTCATGTGGTGGAAAGGCATATATGGTACAAAATTACAGGGGTTTAGTTCATTATACAACACAAATCATCAAGTCTTTACAAGTCATTACAGTCTTTGGATGTTTTAACGCCCATCTCATGTGTAGCAAATCCATATTCTCCCTCAAGCAAAACTGCTTCCTTACACGTGACCCCTCACACGTAGGGAATCCCACACACAGAGGTGCTGTCCCCAGACCGGCCCCACACAGTGTCAGCAGCCAGGCAGGACGACGGGCTTCTCGGGGAGCAAAACGCACATGGGGACGGTCACGTCCACGTCCAGGGCATGAAACAGGCCGCACTCCCGGCCCCAAAGGGAGGCATGGCAGGCAGACAGTGGCCGCTGTCTCAGCACTGCCTGAGGCGGCCCCGGGAACGGAGGGCACCATGAGATGTGGCCCACGGGCGGCCTGGGGCCAGGACAGTGAATCCCATGGGCTCCTTGTCAGTTTCGTGAACAGGGAACTTCACGGCAGGGGCAGACGGAGCTAAGGAAGGGGCATCTAAACACTTTCTCAGCCTTTCAGACTCTTCGATGGTTCTGCCTGGAGCTTATTCCCTCACTAGATGTGCGGTCCCTTCACTGGCTGTGTCTGCCCACCCTCCTGCCCACCCCGGCCAGGCTGGGCGGTGGGACAGCCGCTCCCCACCACCCTCAGCCCCCTGGGAGTGGGAGGCGCAGGCCAGGAGGGTCCCACCCAGTGTCTGCCTGGGGGTGCTCGTGTGGCACTCGCAGCTCAGACACGTCCTCGCCTGGCCTCCCACTTCCGAGCGGTGTGGCCCTTCCCTCCTGCCTCACCCTACATCCAGAGCCTGGGCCCTGCAAGGAACCACGTGGTGAACCCTAATGCTGACACTGTCTTTAAAACTAGGTCAGTTGATTAGTAAGGCTTGAGTGAAGGGGGATGAAGCAGAGCCCCTCCCTCGGGCTCTGGTCTTCACAGGACTCTCAAGCCTGCACTTGAGGCCCAATACCTGCTGGGCTGTGGACTGTGAGGGCTTGTGGCTTTAGTGACAATTGCGTGGCACTGCTGTTCCAGTAACAAGTCAGGTTGGTCTGCACCATGACACGAGGGGAACCAGGAGAGGGGAGCAGGACAGCCTTCCCTCCAGCATGCACAGCAAACCCCTGGGAGGAGGAGGGCTCAGCCCCCAGGAAGAGGGGGGCAGTGACAGGGCGACAAGGGCACCAGTGTCCTCTGCGCACCCCAAGGGAGCCATCAACACATTGGCCCTGAAGGGATGTCTAGGGAGTGGAGCAAGCAGGGGCCCAGGACCACAGACGCTGCCCCCTGCGGGGACTCAGCAGGATGGGCCAAGCTGGGTGCTGCTGGCAGGGGCCAGCCTGACCACCACGCAAATGCCTTGCCCAGCAATGGCTCACCAAGGGGGCCGACGGAACCCATGCCTGCTCCCTGACCTGCTTGTGCTCAGACAGCCCCCGGCAAGCTGACAGCTCCAGGAGCGCTTCCCTCCTGGAGAAAGGGCTGTGTTTGGAAATGGGCACAAGCTGCTAAAAGCTAGGAATACACCCCCTGTCCTGGCCAACCCCACCTGGCTGCTCAGAGTCTCTGGGAGCCTCACTCTGTACCAGGCCGAGGGGCCCGCTGGCTTCCTGGCGCTGAGCACAGTGCTGCCCAGGCTCAAGTTGGGGGCAGAACTAGTAGGAGCAACGCAGGCACAGGAAACCGAGTTCGGGTAAAAGAAAAGAAAGGGTCCCGAAGCCTCTTCAGAGAACAGGGCCGCCCTGAACTGATCACTCAAAGCTCACCCATTGGTTTGCACTTCAGCTGAGAAAAACCCATCTAAGCCCACAATTCCATCCTGGTCTGTCCCATTTTAATCAAACCAAAGGACAGAGAGCATGACACCCTCACTCCCCACTGACCTTCCCAAGGCAGTTCTGGAAAACTGCTGAGGCAGGACAGTGAGAAGCTGGGAAACTTCCTGGGCAAGCAGAATGGGGAAACAGACAAGATAATTAGACGAGGTGAATCCGAACAACCTGCAGCCAGCTAGTGAATTGCAAGACCTTATCTCCCCAACCAAGGTCACCTGAGAGCAAACGGTTCCCACCTCTCTTCCTGGAGCAGAGAATGCACAGCTCACATCTCCCTAGTCGGGAGAGAGGGGGCAGAAACCCAGTAAATGCCATTTGTGCAGCCAAACCAAAGGACGCTGAAGTCAGGGGAACAGATAATAACAAAGACCAGATTAGAGCCGGAGGACCCAAGACAAGAGGAAAATGGAAAAGCAGACCAAAGAACAACCCCCATCTCCCCACACGCTCACTCTGATGCACCTGGAAGCTAAGGGTTATTCTGCCCAAACCCTCCCCTACGACTCTCACCTGCAGGAGGGAAAGGCCCTCAATCACAGACCCTGGGCAGCTGGCTCTGGGGCAGGCCCATGCCCCTTGCTGGGCATGGACTTTTTATTTCTGCTGAACCTCTAAGGGTCCCCAAGAGACATGCAACCAGGGGAGCAGCAGGCCGTGGCAGCTCGTCCTGGGCTCCCCCAGACCCTGTCTCCAAGGCCCCTTTTCTCGACCTCCCAGTGAGTCGACAGCAGCACTGCCTGGGCTCACTCCTTCCCTGTAACTTCCCGGGGGAGCCAGCGCACAGAGCCGCCCAGGCTCTCTCCTGCTGCTGCTGCTTCTACCCAGAGGCCTTCCTTTGTCTCACTGCCTGCAGCTCTAATAAATGTCCTCGCAGAATCACCTGGGCTCGTGTTGCAAAACCTTTCCTGCACCAAGTGGGCCTGAGGCAGACCCGCACTGGGCGGCCCCCGACCCTTCTCACTGCCCCCACGTCGCGCAGCAGACGAGCTCCAGTGAGCACCTCGCCAAGTGGGAAAGGACCACACACGCCCAACGACCTTCCCTTTCTGCGGTGCCTCCCCTACAGCAAGCGGGTGCACGACTTCCTGCCCACGGGCGGGTCCTCTGCCCTGAGAAAGGCCGGGGGGGGGGGGCACTGCCACCCACAGACCACACTGATGGGGGACACTCCAACTGAAAGGGACCTTGGGAACCTGTGCTGGAGGTTGGCAAAACGCAGAGCACAGAGCTGAGCGCACCTCACTCAGGGGCCCGGGCAGGAAGGCACAGGCAGCAGGCCCACAGGCCCTGCCCGAGGAGACAGCGGAGTCGCCCGGCCAGCCCTTGTGGAGGGCAAACCACCACCCACGGGTGCCCTCGTGTCTAGGCGCCGGGACTAGAAAACCGCAGACACCTACCTCCCAAGCCAGGGGTGACGCGTGCAGGAGGACGGGGCGCTGCAGGCAGCTGTCCTGGGGGAGCTGACCGCTCGCTCCCGCTCGTGCCACGTAGGAGCCCGAGCTGGGGGCGGGGCCAGCAGGGCCTCATTAAGAGGGCGGTGGGTTAAACTACTAAAACCTGGATGTGGCCCTTGAGCTTCCTACGCTGGGGCTGACAGGCTGCCACCAAGGTGACCTGAGGCGGGACTGGCAGTCTGTTTCATGGGGACAGTGAAAGAGCCCAGGCTGGGAGTCAGAAGCTGGGGCTTCTGGGAACTTCCCTGAACATTCCCTGGTTTCAGCCTGTTCCCTGTGAGATCCTTCAAGACCCAGAACTGTGAACGTGGGCAGAGACAAGGCTAAACGCGGGGCGTGCTCTCGACCTCCCGGCCTGCCCCTCCGTGAACTCAGGGGAGGAGCGGCAGCGGCCGTGCTGCTCGCAGGCCGAGAGCGGTTCTCTCCTGCAGTTCCACCCGCCGAGGGCACCGGGGAGGGCAGGCAGCTTCCCCTGGTCTCCAGGGGTGGTTAGGAGACACAGGACTCGAGGCCCGGCCGGACATCACCACGAGGAACTGCCAGGAGCTAACCAATCCTCGGCCCCTTCCCCATGGGTCCGAGCGTATGCAGCCGTGCCCCACGAGTGTCCCCGTGGCAGCCCACCGAGGGGCAGGAAACCTGGCACTATTTCTCATAAGGGGCTTCAAATAACTAGAGAACCAGAGATTTTTCAAGGAAAAAAAAAGGCGTTCTGAGTGTTGTTTTTAGAGTCTAAACGAGAGAAGCACAGACAGGCAGCCAGGAGCGCTGTGCGCAGACCCCAGTCCCAGGCCCGGGGGCCTGTGGAGGCTCCGGTGCCTGAGGGACCCTGCAGACGCCTGTCTGCAGCGCACCTGCCCTCTCCCCGCTTCTGCAGATGCCCTCCAGGGGCGCCGGGCAGGGTGCCTGGCGGGAGGTGGGCCTGGCCCTGCAGGGCCTGGTGTGCGGCTCCACAGGGAAGGTGGGGTGGGCTCTCTCTGCTGGAGCCCAGGGATAGAACTGCCAAAAGGTTAAACTGGCCTAAAGACCTTCCCAGACCCCAGGACTGCACCAAATAAGGTCTTATGCCTCCTGACTGCCTCTGTCGCTGACTGAAAGCACAATGTAACTCTCCAAGTTTTTGCATCGTCTTAGGGGAAGGCCACTGTGTGTCTTCATTCAAGGAAAATTGGGGGGTCACCCCCGGCCCCTGTTGGGTCCCCTGCCTGAGGCAGGAGGCTGGTCCTGGGCACTTGCACCTGGGCAGGCGATTGTGACTCGCGAATCATTTCAGATTTTGAAAAATAAATATAAATAAATATATTCCAAACACTCTGTTAAGGGAATAAATGGCAAGGAGAAAAACTTTCTGGGTATAAAGATGCTAAAACCACCACAGAGAAAACCCTCAGCAAAGCAGGGCGAAGGACGAGGGGCCGGTGGGCGGGCAGACCTGTGGCCTCTCCAGGTCACGCGGGACCTAACCTTGGGCCGGGAGCCCCAGGGGGCCGACCAGAGGTGCTTGGGCAATACCTGGTGTAGGGATTTGGGACGTGGAGCAAGTCCACCCTGGGGACAAGCGGAGGACCCCGCCTCGGGGAGAAGAGAAGGCACTGGTTAGGGCTCTTCTTTAAATTAAGAGGTTAATGGGTTTGCCAGAAGAGAAAAGGGGCCGTGGCAGCCCCAGATGGGAAGAGCCCCATGACTGGGGGGTGGAGGGGGTGGCAGGTGCCCCCAGGGCCTCCTTCCCCATGAGCTGGGGCCAGTCTGGGTTCCCAGAACCTTTGACCCACTACCCTGAGGAGAGGCCTCGTTCTCCGGGTAGAGGAAGAATCGAAGCCCCAGAGTCCTGGGAGGAACGGGGAGGTCACCAGCCCTGTGTCCTGCAGCAAGCCCTCTCTGCCTGCTCCCTCGGGGAAGGGGGTGTGAGGGGACGGGGCTGCCCAGCTGCAACCCCAGCCGGGGCTGTCGGTGCCCAGCTGTCAGCGTGCACTGCACAGCGCTGGCTCAGCTAGCCCAGGACTTCCGGTCCGCAGGGTTCTTGGGGCTCCTGTCCACCCGCAGCGCTGAGGTGCCCTCGGCCTTGGCCAGAGCTGCTGTCAGGGAGGCCAGGTTGGTGGTGGAGCCGGAGAGGGTGCCGCTCCTGCGGGGCTCAGGGGCACCCTGCAGCCGCAGCCCCGCACTGCGCCGCCTGCCTGCACCTGCCGCCCTGCGCACTCGGCCCGGTCTCACCAGCAGCCCGTAGCCCGGGTTGCACTTGAAGTACTGCTTTCCTCCAATGGAGCCGTCGTTCTTACCTGAGGGGAGAGGAAAAGAAGACGGAGGTGGCTCCGGGCAGCTCGCAACCCCACGGCCCCTCCTGCAGGACCCCGAGCACCAAAAGGCCTGCACAGGGGCACAGGGGCTCACCATTCAACAAGCGAGGCCCGAGCCACCTCCCGGGCAGCACACACCTGTCACGGGGACAGACACCCCCGGGGCTGCGGGCGTCAGGCTGCTGAGCTAATCCTCCTGTGTCCAGTGCTGCCGAGGCAGAGCTGGCACACCCCCTCTATTTTCAATCTAGATGGTCAAAGTGTAAACCAAAAACGAATGTTTTTGGTAGAATAATTTTTGGTACAATAACCTATTAGATAATAACTAGCAAATTTCCAAATTGTAGCTTGATGTGTATCCAGTTGTCACACCTGATGTATCAAGATGGAATGAAGCTTCCTTTGCAAAAGTGAATAAAAAATGCTTTAAAGTGAAGAATGCACCCAGGTGGGAGCGGACAAGCCGGAACAAAGGGGCCGCCCTCACCCTAAATGTCTGCACCCACAGTGATGGGTTTGTGGGGCATGCGATTTGTGAGAAAAAACGATCATGCGTTCTCCACACTCCCTGTCTGCATATCCTCACCTGCCCACTTCTCTCTGTCCCACTCTGAGCAGACCCTCCCTCCAGCCACAGTCCGCAGTGTCCCCAGGGACCACCTCTCTGGGGGCTGGGAATCGAGCCGGTGTTCTCTCCCACTGTGTGGCCGCTGTCATCACAGGGTTCCTGGGTCCCGCCCCCTGGGGCTCACGGCTGCACGGCTCTGAACACTGACCTCTCCGCTGTGCCTCCAGTCCCAGAGCACCCCCTCTGCCGCCTCCCCTCCCCCTGGAGTGTCACCCACACCTCCAGCTCCACGTGTCCAGCAGAACTTGGCTTCCTCCCACCTGCTCTCTCAGGCTCTCCCACAGGGTCATGCTCTTTCTATCCCTGGGGTCTCAGGCCACTCTCAGGGGCCAGCTTGACTCCTTTCTACCCATCAGGCCACTGCCCCTCAGTCCTGGGGCTTCCCCACCATACTTTTCCTGGCTCCCCGGTGCAGCCCAGCCTGGACATCCGTGGCAGCCTCCTTCGTGGCCTTCCTGGCCCCGCCCTCACCCTGAGTCTGTTCTCCTAATAGCAGCTTCCTGTCACACTTTGTCCATCTGGAACTGGCCACCTCATCTCTCCAGGATCCTCAAATGCAGCGAGCAGGTCCCTGTGCGGAGCCAGTGTCTGCAGTGCCCTCGGCCTGACGCTGCCCCAGCTCCTCTTCCCCCTTACATCACTCCTGACCCAATTCCTTGGTATTCCTCGCAGCAGGGCCCCACCCCCGGGCTACGGACCGGTAGTGGTCCGTGGCCTGTTGGGGGCCGGGCTGCACAGTGGTAGAAGAGCTGTCTTCCATAACACTGGGCCCTGGTGGCCGAAAGGCTGAGGACCGCTGACTTACCGCATCCCCACACCCACCACCCCATCTGCTCAGCCCATTTTATCTCCTTCATAGCACTTACTACTATCAAGGTGTGACTGTTTGTTTAGTAATGGTCTCCCTCTAAAATCAAAGTCCAGTGAAACTAAGAACTTTGTTCTGCTCCAGAAGGTAACTCTGAGTCCTAGGACAGTGACTGAAACATAGTAGGTGCATTGTTGGATGAATCCATCCATTTGCTAATCTCCCTTTCACTCTTAAATTTAATTCCAAATACAAATTGTTTTCCAATTCCCATTTGCATTTCAACAGAAATGGAGTTTAAAAAATATTCCAGCCTGTGCTACAATAATCTCTTAGAACCACTTCCAATTTATGATATTCTTTCCAACATTATTTTTAAAACCAGTGAGTGACTCGCAGCTGGGCCAAGGGGCTCAGAGACAGAGTCCCTGTAAGGCAGGCCTCGCATGTAAGGATGTCACTGAGCAAACCGCCCCCAGCGGGCCCTGTTCTGCCAAGGCGAGCCACCTGCCCATTTCCACACCCCCACCCCCTGGAGGGGTGCCCTCAAGGCATCAGACTGAGAGTTAGCTCCTGGGATCTCCTCCAGAGAGACGAAAACGTGTGTCCACACAAAAGCGTGCACACAAACATTCCCAGCAACATTCTTCACAGAAGCCAGAAAGGGGGGCAACCCAAATGTCTGTCAGCTGGCTGCACAGAACACGGGCCAGCCAGACGTGGGATACTACTCGGCCACAAAGAGGTCACGTGCTATAGTAACACGCTACAACTGGACACACGTGGGAAACATTAGGTTCAGCAGAATAAACCAGGCACAAAAGACGCCCACATTTTGTAGGATTCCACTTACATGGAAGTCCATACATTTCTTGTAACTTTAGAGACAAGACAACTAACAAGCAGGTTGACCGAGGTGTGAGGTGGGGAACGTGTGGACGCTGGGGGGTGACGAACCTGCCAGCATCAGGTGATGGGAATGGGTGCACAGCTCTGCGCATGCACCAGAACCACCGGCTGGCGCATGCAGACTGGGTTTTATGGCGTGTACGCTGTCTCACAATAAAGGCGTTTCGATGAAGCATCTGAAGAGCCGACTACTTCCTTAAAGGCTGCCCTCGTTTTTCTGAAAATGATGATCAGTTCGCTTTACACTGCACTGTTCTAGAATGAGCCTTTAGACCGGCAAGCCTGCGAGGGGTCTGAGATGGGCTTGTCCTCGGGTCTCACAGTGTGGGCCAAGCAGCCTGGGTGTCTTGGGAACAACTGAGAACCCACAGGGGCTAAGTGTCTGTGACCTGAGCCAAACTGCAGACAGAGCTAAGTTCTAGTTCAAATGCAAATGCAACTGTGACTAAAAAAAGAATAATGGCATTAAAATTCATTACCAAATTTATAGCTTTTAATTAATGTCTTAGGTTTCTGAGAAATTTCTGGAGGCTAAAAAAAGAGAGAACCGGCCCTGGCTGGTGTAGCTCAGTAGATTGAGCTCAGGCCTGCAAACCAGACAATCGTGGTTCGATTCCCAGTCAGGGCACATGCCTGGGTTGCAGGCCAGTCCCCAGCAGGGGATGCGCAAAGGGCAACCATACATTGATGTTTCTCTCCCTCTCTCCTTCCCTTCCCCTCTAAAAATAAATTAATTAATTTAAAAAAAAGAGAGAGAGAGAACCTGACTCCTAAACCATTCTGAAAAACTTTATGTAGAAAAAACCCCCAGTGTGAAAAGGAGGCCCACAGACCACCTGCAGCCCCGAGGGCGCAGGCCACGGTCTGGGACGCCTGCCTGCGCCTCCAGTGCCAGGGTCCACCCCGAACAGCGCTCACCTGAAGGTAGGTCCAGCTCCACGCCAACCCAGGTCCCTTCCTGGAAGTCGGTGGGCCCGATGTACCTGACGATGCCAAATTTGCTGGTGCCCACGGTAACATATTCTCCTTCTCTGAGCCACTCCGGGACTTCACTGGTTTCCTCGGAATCGGAGGACACTTCCAGCTTCTCCAGGCTCTGCCCTCCAGAGCTGCCATCGCCAGTCCCTCCCGAGGCCAGCGGGTCATCCTCAGCACCAGAGGGACAGCTGGGGTCCCCGCCAAGCATGCAGGAGAATGACTTCAGCTCTGAGGTTCGCACCTTCCGGATTCTGAACGGGGACGCTGGTGTGGGCAGCTGAGACCGGACATCAGGAGGCAGCTGTGGTTTGGAGACGTCTGGTTCTAAGCTGATGTCTGGCCTGGCCTGGCCCTTGGGTCTTCCTAGCTGCTTGGTAGCAGAGAAGCTGTCATCTCTGCTCTGTGGGCTGGGTGACTCCTGGGGCGTAGAAGTGGGAAGATGCGTCGGGGAAGTGCTTGCCTCTTCATTCTGCTTCTCTAAGGGAACCGCTCCCTTGGCCTGGACCACACTGGCTCTGTCGCCATCACTGTCACTCAGTGGAGTCTGCTTTGCTGGCACAGGCAGTGACAGAAGGCTGCTCTGACCCGCCAGCAGGGCAGGGGGGGTGCTGTCTGCACCTGGGGCAGCAGAAGGAAATGGGGGCTCGGAGTCCGGGCCGGCCTGGCAGGGGACAGGAGGGGGCGAGCTGGGCGTCTGCCCACCCGCCTGGGCTGTGGCGTCCAGGCCCGGGGCGACGGCGTCAGACAGTGTGGTGGAGGAGACACTGTGTGAGAAGTACCCGCTGGAGGCCTCGCTCAAGGGGCTGGGTGGCCCATCCTGCGCTTCGGGGACCTGGGTGTTGGCGGCTGTGCTTGGTGGTGAAGGCACTTGACTTGGTCTGTCCTTGGACTTCAGCACTGGAGCAGCCTGCACGGTCATGGTCGCATCGGGGGCCACTCTCACGCTGGTGTTCTCCCGGAGAGCCTGAAGCAGGAGAGGGGAGGTGCGAATGGTCAGAGTTCAAGGTTAGGTGTCCATTTCTAACAGGGGGAGGCAGGGGCTATGCAGTTAGCTGGACCCCAGGGCTCTGCTGCGGGAAGGGCGCTGCTGTGCAGGAGGGCAGCCTGGTTCCAGCATCTGCTCTGCCGCGTCACCCACGGGACCTGCCTTCCCCCCGTGGATGCTGAGGGCCCTGCAGCACCGGGCACACCGCCCCCCTTCTGTGCATAGATGCTAACAGATGTCTGGGTCCTGTGATTTACCATTAGAAATGTATGTCTTGTCTTCATTTCCATTTCTGGCACACAGCTCTTTCTAAAACCCTTGGGATTTTCTAAGAGATAAGAGCAGTAAACGTGTCTTGATATTCAGAACAACTCCCCTCCAACAACTCCTGAGATTACTTTTAGAAATCCCCTGAGGATAGGGGCAGGATTGCCAGCGGGGACAAACCACGCTTGGAGGGTTGGAACTTTCAGTCACACCCCCTGATTTCTGGGCACTGAAAAGGGGCTAGAGACCAAATCAATCACCAATCACCAAATGGCCGATGATTTAATCAGATGTTCCCATATAATGAAACCTCCGTAACAAGAACAGGTTTTGGAGTTCCTGGGGGTAGCAAACATGTGGAGGTAGAAGGAGAGAATCGTGCTCAGAGAGAGTGTGGAAGCTTCGCACCACTTCCCCACACCTTATCCTCCACCTGTCTTCCATCTGGCCATATCTGCGTTATATCCTTCTATAATAAACTCATAGTCTAGTAAGAAAAATGTTTCTGAGTTTTGTGAGACATTCAGCAAGTTAATCAATTCCATGAAGCAGGACATGGGAACGTCTGATTTACAGGTGACAACCTGGACTTCAGTCTGGTGTCCGAAGTGGGGGGCAGCCCCTGAAACTACGCCCTTAAGCTGTGGGATCTGACGCCGCCTCTGGGGACACAGCATCGGATGGAGCTGAATCCTCAGACAGCCAGTGTGGGAAATGACACATGGTGGGCTCTCTGGGGTCAGGTGGTACAAGGCAGGCAAGGCCTCACCGCAGAGCATGGCACACAGTAGGTGTGCACAACAATCTCCACCCCTGCACCACCCCCAGCATCCCCTGCCTTCCTAAGAACTCTGCTCCCTTGGAAACAGATCCCCTGCCCACCCTGACTTCCCAGGGAGACCGAGAGAATCACTAGAAGACAGAAGAACCCTCTTCTGAAAAACTGAAGTGAAATCTCACGGGAGGGCCTGAAAGGGCTTCAGCTCAGCTGGCCCAGCTCAGCCCCAGAGAAATGCCCCCCGGCCCTGCTGATGCCGGGCTGCTCCGGGCTGAGGCAGTGGGCGGGGAGATGGAGGCTGTAGGCCATGCCCTCTCTGAGGGGCCATCTTTCAGGCTGCTGCTGCAAGCTGGCCCTATGTCACAGGTCAGGAGGCCCTCGGATCCCAGGAGACTCAGCCCGGCAGCAGTGCTCCCCCGCCCCCAACCCCAGGAGCAGCTGAGGAGGAAGGCACAGAGGCTGGCCTCTCCCTCTAATGCTGCTCTGTCTGAGTCACTCGGGCAGGGACACGCACAAAGCCCATCTCATGGGGAATGACGACAGCCACGGCTCATCCAAACCCTACTGTTGCTGAGGTGCTTGTGAGTGTTCTTTCATGGGTAATTTCAGTCATTTGAAGAAGCTGGCAGATTGTCTTTCTATTCCCAACTCACAATGACGGGGTAAGAGAGACTGGCGGGAGTGGAGAATGGGACGGGCCGGTGGAGAGAATGCCGTTCGGAGAAAGAAATATGTTTTCCAATATTTACGAAAAGATTATTTATATTACAGGAATGGCCATTTTCCATTTGAAATACAGGATTTATTTGAACGGGGAAACAGCTGAGATCTATAAGTCTCTTACAGTTACTTGGCTCAAGTCAGCAGTCTGATAAATCATGCATTTTCACGTGAATTGTCATTTATATTCCTGTCTCCGGAGGCCCTCCGTTCCCCACAAGGCACACTTTCAGGGCACAGGACTAACGGCACCTCCGGAGATTAACAGCCCATTTTTGTGATGGATCTCTAGGCTGCAAAATTTACTAAATCCAATAGATCAATAACTGTCACCAGCATAAATACTCTAAAAGATTAGGCAATCCTTCAATCATTTTTCTCTTGTAACTTATACATGTTTTATTTATTCTTTTATATTTTATTTTGAATATCACTGACCAGGCAGGGAGGAATACACAAACAAATCACAAGAGTCTAGAGCCTGAACAACAGCTATGACCCTGAGACAGTATGTGTTCTCACGTCCCCTCCTGGTAAGACCCCACCACTGCCAGATGACAGCTGTCCACTAAGGGCCAGCGAGGTCCTGTCCTGAGGAGGTGACAGTCTAGAGACAGTGCCTTAGATTTTCTTGGCATTGTCCTATTTGCTTCCACATAAACCGTCTGGTGTAGGCCAAAGAGTATTATCACATTCATTTCACACTGTGGCCCAGGGAGGTTGAAGGTTTAGCCAGAGCCACCAGGAAGGGGAGCACCAGGGAGCAGAGGTCAGACTCGCAACCACGGCAAAGAGGACGCGGTAAGCGGCGGAGGGAGCGCTGACTGCCGCCTCTGCTCTGCTGAGCCGAAGCCAGGGGCCCCCAGTCCTCCCGCCGCCACCGCACCGCAGGGCCCGCTCCCACTTGGCAGGTGGCAGCACAAGTGGAAACCTGCCCGGCCTCTGTGGGTTATGCCTCCGCCGACACTTCAGAGACGCCGCCGAGGCCTGGACTGGAGCAAACCACCAGACAGGCAGCGAGACGGCCCTGCGCTGCAGAGGCCGGGGCAGGCCGGTGCCCTTGGCAGCAGGGCGCTTGCTCTCACTTGGTCCCACTGGCCTTGGGGCCCCAATCCCGTCCCAGGAAGATAATGAACATCAGCCATCGTCCAGAGCTGGGGGATCCTGGTCCTACCTCAGTTCAGCTCGTGCACACAAAAGGGACACTGGATTGAAAGGGGCCGTACTGAAAAAAGTGAATTCATCATGGAGGTCTGAATTTCCTTTCAAATTACTTGGCCTTTTTCACTGTTGTTTTAATAAATAAAATTTCCCTATGAAGATACAGCACTTCCTAAGAGAATGAGCACACAGTGGGAGAAAATAGATTTGCTATTCATAAGATTAGAAGTGCTGTTCATCTGTGGGAGATCATAAGAGACTATTTTTCTCCCGAGTTTAGCATTAGTCTTTTCACGCTGATATCATGAATCAGAATGAAATGTAAAACTGAGAATTAAGCAAACACTTAGAATAAGGAGATTGTTCTGTTTATAGAAATCGCCTTTGCCTGGTGGTGGGCTATTAAAGCAGCAGACTACATTAGCAGTCAAGCACCTAAAAGTTTAGCAATCATATGATTAACAAGTTGAAAATAGCCAAGTGTAACAAGAAAAATATAGAGGCAGAAGACAGTGGCCTATATTATGGTTAATCATCAAAACGGGAAAGCTAAAATAAAACCACCACGGGTGTGGACTCGACAATTATCGCACTGGCCACCCACCGCCCGTGGGGCAGCCTCCAGCACAGGCACCACCCGCCCAGCCAGCTCACCTCCGCCATCCTGGTCGGCCTGGCGTCCGGCGGGGCGGGCTGCACCAGGATCCGGGGCACCGGCTGAGGAAACAGCAAACAGGCGGGCATGAGGATCCAGAGGGGCTGGACAGAGATGACCAGAGAAGGTTTAGACCGAACAGACGAGTCACTGCCAACCAGGCACGCCAAGTGCGAGGGGTGTTACACTACGCAAGGGAATGGAAGACATAGGGGGCTAGCGGCCCCTGCCCCATCCCCGTTCAGCAACACAAGACACACGCTGGAAACAGGGATACACATGGCAGACTCACACACCTCAGGCTCTTTCCACTCACGTGCGATGCGAGGGCTGTGTCTGCAAAGACAAGCCCTACAGGACTAACGAGAAACCATCGGGAAAGGTCAGGAAGGCTCCAGGCAGCAGGGAGAACCCAAGCCCAGCCCTGGCGGACAGGGAAGACTCATGTACAAAAGGAGGACTGGCCAGTGCAGTCACAGGAAGCTGGCCTGGCTGCGGCACAATTCTGCGCATCGGACAGAGCAGGGCAGAGAGAGGGAGAAGCTTTGGTACCTGAAACTAAGCCATGCAGGCAATATGGCCGGACCGCCACACATGCCTGAGAGAGCAGGCAGGGGCTGAGAAGGATGGCCTGGTGGTGGACGGCACACTGGCTGGAGGAACAGTTAAAGGCCAAGGAGGCAAATCACTAAAGAGACCCCAGCAGCAGAGTGAGTGGTTAAGAGCCTGGATAATGGGTGCAAGCAACGTCACAAGACAAAAGACTTCAGTACTTGTAGACCTGCCATTCAAGTAATATTAAAGAAAAAAATTTTAAAAATTAGCATCGGGATAAGAAAAAGGATGCCAGAGAAAGGAGATGGAATCAGAAATTGATCTAGTAGTGGCGGAGTTTACAGTGGCAGTGGGACATGGAAGTGGACATGATGATCTCGGAGGCACCAAGAGTCTGCCAATTCTGCCTCTATTCCCTCAGCAAGCCTTTCTCCCCTTCCCGGGTCTCCCTGCTTTGATGCAAGAGCAGGGGCCTCCGGGTGCTCGGCTCTCAGGACAGACATCACTCCTAGTCTTCTCTCGTAAGAGAGAAAATTGGCTGCTGAAGCTGCTTTCCGTGCAGTATGAGGGTCTTTGCATTTGTTGGGTCCATAAGAAAAGCAGGTAGTCACCAATCTAAACTGCTCGGAGATATGGATTCCAGATCTTTCCACTTCCCTCCTCTGGTCCTGGGCACTCCAGGTCCTCCCAGTGGTGTCTCTGGGCACCCGAGGCGCCTATGTTGTTGACGCTTTCTGAGCTGAGCCTATAGACACTAAGACTGGACAGCCGAAGTCTCACTTACTACAGGGCAGGCCCAACTCTTAACTGAAGGGAAGAGAGCCCACCTAAAACAACGCCTCACTCTGACCGGTGTGGCTCAGTGCCTTGGGTGTCACTCCACAGGGTGAAGGATTGCCAGTTCAACTCCCAGTCAGGGCGTGAGCCTGGGCTGCAGGCCAGGTCCCCTGGTACGGTGAGTGCGAGAGGCAACCAATCGATGTTTCTCTCTCACATTGATGTTTCTTTCCCTCCCTTCCCCTCTCTCTAAAATTAAATAAATAAAGTCTTTTAAAAACATGGCTCAGCCAGGGTGGTAGCGACCTGAGTTCACAGCACCAGGTCACCGCATTGCTGCAGTGGGAACCATGATAACCAATCGGGCCTTGGGACTGCTTTTGAAAGCAAAGTGTTAAAGAAATTCATTCTGCTGAAGATAAGGGAACAGTGACGAGATCTGAGAAGAGGCACAAAGGAGAGGCAATTAAGTAGGAAACACGAAGCAACAAGGCTAAACAGGTGGCAGGACCTAGGGAAACACTGAAGGGACACACGCTTCACCCTGCAAACCCTGGGGAGTTCTCGGTGGGGGGGGGTTAAGGCCAGGAAGGGCTAGGGTCACAGTTATGTTTCAGTCAGAGTGAGAGGCCAAGAGGACACAGGGAGGACACCGTAACGATGGCAGCAAGAGCAACACAAGGAACTCCAGCCGGTCCCTCAGTTTTTTGACCTGGAAAGAGTCTCGGACACATGGCGCCTTCCCTCGCTCACGACACCTCCCGGTCCATCCCTACATGAGCTCTCCGTGTCCCCACTCCCAGTCCATTCTTACATAGGCTCTCCACTTCCCCACTCCCAGGCCTTCCCCACACGAGTTCTCCGTGTCCCCACTCCCGGTCTGTCCCTCACAGGAGTCTTCGTGTCCCCAGTCCCGGTCTGTCCCTCACAGGAGTCTCCGTGTCCCCACTCCGGGTCCATTCTCACATTATCTCTCCGTGTCCTCACTCCACCAACAACTTGATAAGGGAGTTATTTCCAAACAAGTAGCCTCCACCCTACCACGTAGTCCTGGAATGCAGGGGCTGCACCTTTATGCTTATTTTCTGCATATTAGTTGAAGTCTCCCACAAATGGGAAGGCACTCAGAGCATATTTTAGTAAAAGTAGAAAAAAAGTTTCTTAAGTTTGAACTCCAGTGTACGTATATTCTTCAGTTAGGTCCCAAACAGATAGGATTGGGATGAAACATTCCCTCTTAAAATATAAAACATGAAAATCCTACCAAGGATGGGACTATAGGTAGCCAGGATGAAACCCTTTCTAAGATGATACATTTCCTGCCCTCCTAAATAAAGCAAAGAAACATAATTTATACTTTTCTTTATGACTCAGAGTAATTAGAAAATTCCAGTAAATGCTTAGAAAATACTAGCAGAAATGAATTAAGGACCAGACAGGCAGTGACGCTGCACAGGAGCCCGGGGACCTCGGGGACTCCTGCTCCTCCGACCTCACACGGCTCCGGGCGGCGAGGCTGGGAACCTCGGGTCCCCACTCACAGACTTCCTGTCACCCTACTCCCTCTCAGCCCACGGCCACTTCTTACTGAGGCGGCAGGTTCCACACAGATGTCACCCGACTCACACCCTGAAGTGTGAAGCAGGAAAAAGAGGATGAGGGAACGCATCTGAAAACCACGTGGAAAATAAGACCCGATGGGGTCCGAGTGCAGCGGCAGCGCCCCAGCCTCCCTGTCAGCACTAGCAGCGTGTGTGCCTGCCTCCGAGGGCGCCGCGCAGCGGTGGCTGCCAGCTCCGGACAACAGGGCCACAGGGAGACACTCCCCCACCAAGGAGTGTCCGAAATGTGCGTGCTGACGAGACTGAGGATGCAGACACGCAAAACCGGCCACGTGTTCATTTTTCTCGAAGCCAGGTGACAAGTGCATAGGGATTCACCGCAGGGCCCTTTCTCCTGTGCATTTCCCAAATGTGTCCACAGCACTGGGAACTGAGACTGCGAGTCGATGTAAAGCTCAGTTCAGCGAAGACTTGTCAGGCCTCCCGGTGACCACAGGCACTGGGAGGAACACAAAGACACAGGCTTCGTTCTCAACAGACCGGCGATCCGGTCTGTGGGAAGGACACGTATATAAATGCCGAGAAATTGGGTAGATGTGAGAACGGACATTTCAAAAGCGGAGACCATCTGGAGGAGGAAGAGAACATGAGTGGCCCAGGCCCACACCACCTTCCCGACGGTGCTTTTACTCTGACGAAGGCCCAGGGTGAGACGAGTTGGGACGGCCAAAGAGCCCCCTTGTGTCTTATGTGTCCCCCTACTCTCATCTCTGCCTTGGGAAGAGCTACCCAGGCATCCAGAGGTCTTGGGGAGGAGAGAAGGATCTAGACTGGCAAGCCCCGGGCAGAGGGAAAGAAGGTCAGGGCCGTGCAGAGGCCTGGTGAGCCTACAGTTGGTGTTCACAGGCAATGAAGAGCTACTGAAGGTTCCCGCAGGAAGTGGTAATAAGAGCTATGTCCACAGAAGGTTAATCCTTAAATAAGGGAGATATGAAATGGAGAGAAATAAACTAAGAATGGCTTGATGGAGAGCTAATAAGAGCCTGAATTTGGATAGTAAAAGGAAAAGAAAATAGAAATACAAATTTAGATCTCTAAAGGAGACTGCTGGATACTTGAAAACAACTGGCTACAGGCGGGGAAACAGAGTCAGAGACCATGCACGAGCAGCGAGCAACAGTGGAACCTGAAGTAGCATCGGGGTGGGTGCGTGCGTGTGTGGGGTGGTGGGGGTTACTTCTGTTTTTGGCAATGGCCTGTGATGAATCCAGCAACCTTATTAAGGGTCCCCAAAATACCTACAAAGTATACTGAAATTTTAAGTGTGCCGTCTGTCCTTCACACGTAACAGCTCGAATTTCCAAATGTGTACCGTCTGCAGTTCAGCGCTCTTTTACATATCCCCAGTGCGGGCGGCTGCCTCCTATTTCAGGAGCTCAAAACACTTCAGATCATAAACTCATTAATCCTTATGACACATCTGGTAACTATTAATAAAAATGACTGCAAAGTATTTTGCAGCTATAAATATTAAGGAGAAGTCCCATGAGGCCAGTGAATATAAGTATAATTATCTACATTTCACACCAAGGCTCAGCAATAGTGACCTAGTGGTTACATACAGTCGGGTGTCCAGTGAGTCGGTGAAAGAGACGGGAAAAGACTGCGCCCTTCAGCGCCGCCTGGCCCTGCAATCACACCGTCCACTGAGCACTGCTAGAACTGAAGGGGGGAGCAGGCTACTGGTGAAAGAGCTGCTCAGAAGTATTTCAGGGGAAAGAGGAAGATCACTCTTCTTATCAGATCTCGTCATTTTTTAACTCTGGCTTTCGGAGGCCACATGAATGAAAATAGGGCACAATAGCTTAGGATTTTGTAACTAGGCACAAAAGCTATTTTGGAGACCCCTTTGCCTAGAAGAACAGAGTCTGATTGCCTTGGCCTGGCGTGAAAGACCTCGCTCCTCTGTGAGGCTGCGTCCCGTCCTGCCTTGTGCTCACCCACTCTGAGCTCCCCAAACTCAGGGCTTTTCCCCAGCCTTCCTCTTGCTGCTTCTGCCCCTAGGGAGTCGTGTTCCACCCGGGGGAATACCCACTTGCTTTTAAGTCTCAGTCCAAGCATGACCTACTCTTCCTGAAACTGTAGACACAAGTGCACAGAGCCTTCGG